TCTACAAGGAGCCAGTGGTTCCCTGGGTTTGCTAGCATTAAATTTTTTATTTCTGTATTTTCCATATTTTCTTCCAAGAATAGTTAACTATGTTTTAGTCAGAAATAAACTAAGAAAAGCAGAATGTGAGCCACCAGATCACCACTTTGCAGAAGGAGCTCTCAACTTTCTGTCTTTTACGTATATACTTTTGTTGTTGTTGTTAGTTGCTATCAAGTTGATTCTGACTCATAGTGAGACTACATAGAAAAGAACAAAACACTGCCCAGTCCTGCACCATCATAACAGTTGCTATGTTTGAATCCACGTTTGCAGTCTCCGTTTCAGTCTATTTTGTTGAGGGTCTTTGTCTGTCTCACTGACCCTCAACTTTACTAAGCATCATGTTCTTTGCAGAGACTCGACCCTTTTGATGAGATGTCCAACTTGTGTGAGGCACACTCTCACCGTCCTTGCTTCTAAGGCACATTGTGACTGTACATTAAGGTAGATAGGTTCATTCCTCTGAGAGTACATGGTATATTCCGTATTCTTCACCAGCACCATAATTCTTCCATCTTCCTTATTTATTGTCCAGCTTTCACAGGCATATGAAGTGACTAAAAATACCATGGCTTGGGTCAAGTGCACCTTAGTCTTCAAAATGACATCTTTGCTTCTTAACACTTTAAAGAGGTCTTTTGATGCAGATTTGCCCAATGCATTACGTCGTTTCATTTTTTGACTGCTTGTCTTAGATGGGCTTTGATAATGGATCAAAGTAATAATTTGATAATAAGTAAAATGAAATCCTCAACAATTTCAGTCTTTTCTCCATTAACTTAAGTTGCTTATTGGTCCGGTTGTGAGGACTTTTGTTTTCTTTATGTTGAGGTGTAATCCGTACTGAAGGTTGCAGCCTTTGATCTTCATCAGTAAGTGCTTCAAATCTTCTATCAGTGAACAAGGTTGTGTCATCTGCATATCGCAGATTTGTTCACAAGTCTTTCTCCACTCTTGATACTGTGTTGTTCATGTAGTCTAGCGTCTCGAATTATTTGCTCAGCACACAGGTTGAATAAGTATGGTGAAAAGATAACAACCCTGACGCACATCTCACCTGATTTTAAATCATGCAGTAACCTCTTGTTCTGTTCAAACAGCAGCTTCTTGGTCTGTGTACAAATTCCTCATGAGCACAATTAAGTGTTTTGGAATTCCCATTCTGCACAGTGTTAGCAGTAATTTGTTATGATCCATGCCTTTGCATAGGCAGTAAAACACAGGTAAGTATCTTTTTTGGTATTCTTGGCTTTTAGCCAAGATCCACTGGCCATCAGCAATGATATCCCTCATTTTATGTCTTCTGAATTGGGTTTGAATTTCTGGCAGTTTTGTGTTGATGTACTGCTGCAACTATTCTTGAATTATCTTCAGCATAATTTTACTTAGATGGGATATTAATGATACTGTTCAGTAATTTCCTCATTTTGTTGGATTGTCTTTTTTGGAATGGACACAAATATGGCTCTCTTCCAGTTGGCTGGCCAGATAGCTGTCTTCTACATTTCTTGGCGTAGATGAGTAAGTGCTTCCAGCATTGCCTCTGTTTGTTGAAACTATAATGGGTACTCCACCAATTCCTGGATCCTTGTTTCTCACCGGTGCCTTCAGTGCAGCTTGGATTTCTTCTTCCGTACTCTTGGTTCTTGATCATACGTTACCTCCTAAAATGGTTGACTGTCAACCAGTTCTTTCTTGGTATAATGACTCTATATTCTTTCCTTCTTCTTTTGATGCTTCCTGCATCATTCAGTATTTTCCCCATAGAAACCTTCAGTATCACAACTCAAGGCTTGATTTTTTTCTTCCATTCTTTCAGCTTGAGAACTGCCAAGCATGTTCATCTCTTTTGGTTTTCTAACTGCCGGTCTTTGTACCTTTCATTATAATACTTCACTTTGTCTTTTCGAGTGCCCTTTGAAAACTTCTGTTCAGCTCTTTTACTTCATCATTTCTTCCATTCCCTTTAGCTACTAGTTTGAGAGCAAGTTTCAGAGTCTCTTCTGACATCCATTTCGGTCTTTTCTTTCATATCTTTTTAATGACCTTTTGCTTTCTTCATATGTCCTTGATGTCATCTCACAACTCATCTTGTGGTCGGTCATTAGTGTTCATTGCATCAAATCTTTTCTTGAAATCTAGATTCGGGTGGGATATATTTAGTGTACTTTGCTCTAATGGTAGCACAGTGCCTAAGGCATCTGATTGCTAACCAGAGGTTGGTGGTTCAAACCCACCAGCCACTCTGTGGAAGCAAGACTGGGCACTCTACTTCCAAAAGACTTAACCTCCTCAGAAACACAGTGGGTGTTGCTATGAGTCAGAATCAACTCAGCAGTTGTGGGTTTGTTTTTGGTTTTTGGTACTTTGCTGTCATTGACTTGCTTTAATTTTCTTCAGCTTTGCCTTGAACTTGCATGTGAGCAATTGATGGTCTGTTCTGCTGTTGGCCCCTGGCCTTGTTCTGACTGATGATGTTGAGCTCCTCTGTTGCCTCTTTCTGCAAGTGTAGTCATTTCGATTCCTTTGTGTTGCATCTGGTAAGGTCCATGTGTATTGTTGACATTTATGTTGTTGAATAAGTCGTTCTTGCAAAATTCTGTCATATGATCTCTGGCACTGTTCTTGTCACCAAGGCCATATTTTCCAACTACAGTCTGCTTTCTTTGCGCCTTTCTCATTCCAGTCACTAGTAATTATCAATGCATCTTGATTGCATGTTTCGTCAGTTTCAGACTGCAGATGTTGGTAAAAATCTTCAATTTCTTCAACTTTGATTGGTTGTGTGTAAATTTGAATAATAGTCATATTTACTGGTCTTCCTTGTAAGCGTATGGATATCATCCTATCATTGGTGGTAGTATACTTGATGTGTTCTTTTGACAATGAATCTGATGCCATTCCTCTTCAATCTGTCATTTGTGGCATAGTAGACCATATAACTGTCTGATTCAAAATGGCCATAACCAGTCCACTTCAGCTCACTAATGCCTATGATATTGAACTTTATGCGTTTCATTTCATTTTTGACAACTTCAGATTTTCCTAGAGTCATATTTCAAACATTCTACGTTCTGATTATTAATGGGTGTTTGCAGCTATTTCTTCTCATTTTGCGTTGTGCTGCATCAGCAAATTAAGGTCCTGAAAGCTTTACTCCATCCACTCTACAAAGTCTAAGGTCAACTCTACTTTGAAGAGGCAGCTCTTCCTCAGTCATGCTTTGAGTGCCTTCTACCCTGAGGGGCTCATATTCCGGCACTGGATCAGACAGTATTTCACTGCTATTCATAAGGTTTTCACTGACCGATTTTTTTTAGAAGTGGACCTGGCCACGTCCTCCTTCCTAGTTTGTCTTAGTTTGGAAACTCCACTGAAGCTTGTCCATGGGTGATCCTGCAGATATTTGAAATACCAGTGGTGTAGCTTCTAGCTTCACAGCAATAAGCAAAGCACCGTGGTGTGATACACTGACAGATGAGAGGTGGAGGTATATGGTACTGCTGATCATTGTCAATTAGGTGTTTTCATTGAGGGAGCTGTTGAAATGTCTGTGGGCATATTTGATATATCCGTATATATGTATGTAAATATAAATGTGGCTATGTGTGTGTGTATAAAATAGTTGGTTGATTTTGTAGAATGGAGAATTTCAGGTAATTAGGTCCTAGTGTTCTGTTCTCTACTGATAGGGCCTGAAAAAGTGACAGGTAAAGTTACCTAGCAGTTAAACTGTTAGGCAAGAGTATAAACTGTCTACAGGACATCACCTGTGAAAGAGGCAGAGAAAAGAATATTCTTTCCCTTGAAGGAAGTTGATGAAAACCAGCTGTGTCACATGTCTGGTGGACATGCCAGTTCTTCTGAGTTCATGACAAGTTATAACATGCCCTGAGAGGTCATCTTAAGCTGCCTTAATCGTGTGTACTTACACTTTCAAAAAAACAAAACCCATTGCTATTGAGTTGGTTTTGACTCATAACAACCCTATAGTTCATAGTATTGCTGCTCCATAGGGTTTCCAAGGCTGTAATGTATATGAAAGCAGACTGCGGCATCTTTTTCTCACAGAGCATCTGGTGGGTTTGAACCACAGACCTTTTGGTTCACGGCAGAGTGTTTAACCCATGTGGCACCACGGTTAAATTTACTTACACCTTAAGTTAGTGAATTTAAAACTTATATTAAATTTAAATTAATTAAAAGTGTTAAGTGAAAACTTCTATTTGCAAAACATTTTGCTAAATTACTTTTCTTTAAACGAAGCCCCTTGTATTTTCTAGGTGATAAAACAGGAACAAGACCAGAGTAAGTTTACAATTTATCTTTAAAATACTTTGAAGAGTTTTAATTACCAAATTATAGGCTGTCTGTACTTTCACCTAATCTGCATTTCGTTGAAGAAAGCATTTGTAAATAACTTACCAAGTGCGCTTCCCACTAGTATCTTGTGTATACTTTACCTCTATTCTGGAAGTGAAGAAGCTGAGAGGCTGAGGATTATATCAGGGAAGTTAGTGGTAGCTATTCTGTGATTGAAATCTAACTCGAGATTCCATTGCAGCTTGCCAGGTTTAGCTTGGCTTGTCCTCTCTGAGTATTTGTGACTCCCTGAAGCTATCCCTTGGTCATATCTTCTTATTTCAGTGGATAGCAAAGAACAAATCATAATTGGAACATCTCTATGTGAAAAGCTTTGTAGACTTCCTTTAATGGACACTTTAATACTTTGACTTGAATAAAACTCAATCATAGAACCTTTTGGCTAGAGGCAACTTCCTTCAACATCTCAGCCAGTCTGATTGTTTTTCTTAACCATTTAGTCAAATGTTAAGTGTATTTATAGTATGTGCCAGCCTTGTTAGATAAGAAGTCTGTATGTCAGATGAATTGTTCAAATATCTTTATTTTATGCATTAGGAAATTTGTTATGCTTTCTAAAGAACTTTGAAATGATCCAGGGATGCTGTAAATGGGAACCTTTGCTGTATTTTATCATATCTTGACACATACTTTAGTAAATGTCAACTGCTGATTCTTTTCATAGCAATGATTTTAATATATTTGTGGCCTTTTTCTTAGGGATAGTAAAGCACTGAAGGATGAAAACCTACCCCCCGTCGTCTGCCAGGATGTTGAAAATCTGCAGTGAGTATCATGTGCAATCAGATAAGTGACACGTGAGGAATTCTGAGTGCATTTTATGGGGAACATCTTTTCCTCCTGAACAGTTTGGCTTGGATTAAGATTCTAATGCTTGAAAAAATGGAAGAGGAAGCAGAGCAACAGGAATTCAAACAGTAACTGCCGCTCTTGAAAACATGTGAACTGTCGATGGTTTTAGTTGTTGTTTCTTAAACACTTGGACTAGGACCAGCTTATTTTAAGTGTACTTTTTTTCCCCTGTGGCAGCCAAAGGTGGATTTTTTTTTTTTTCTAAATGCAATTCTTTTATTATTTTTTTTTTAATAGAAAATTTGTGAAAGAGCAAAAACAGGTCCAAGAGGAAATCAGTAGAATGTCCTCAAAAGCCATGCTAAAGGTGCAAGAGGACATCAAAGCGCTGAAGCGGCTCCTGTCCCTGGCGGCCAGTGGGCTGCAGAGGAACACGCTCCTCATCGACAAGCTGAAAGGTGAAACCGCTCAGGTATACTGGCTTAAGGCACGGGGTGTTTCTTTTTGTAATTAAAAAGTTAAATCCAGACATACTTTAAAAGAATCAAGTAGCACATGTACTTTTAAATTTCTAGGATAACAGTAACGGGCAGTTTTTATTGAGTGCTTACTTGTGTACGTGATAGTGCCCTAAGCAGTTTATGTGTATTTACTTGGTTTAATTTTCACAGCAGGCCTGTATGAATGAGGTTGTTGTTGTTGTTGTTATTTGCCGTCAAGTCGCCCCGACTCATAGCGACCCCTCCTTGGGTTTCTGAGGCAGTATCTCTACAGAGGTAGGATTGCCCAGCCTTCCTTCCGAGGAGTGGCTGGTGGGTTTGAACCGCCAGCCTTCTGGTTAGCAGTCAAGTGCCTTAGGCACTATGCTACCAGAACTCCTATGAGTGAAGTAGGTATTATTATTTTCATTTGAGAAGTAAGGGAACAATATATAATGCAATATATGTTACAATATAATGTAAGGGACATTCTCTTTTGCTTTACTGGTGAAAAATGATGATAGGTAATTTTCTTGTGTTTTATAGATCACAATTATGAAATCTACTTACTCTGATCATGGCAGTCTAGAATTCTGTCCCTAAAGTTGTCTCTGGTGTTAAAATGTCCTTTACATGATAGGCCTTTTTTAATGTTGGTTCTTCAGAATGCTGTGCTCTTCATAATATTTTAAGTAAAAATTTTAAAGGTACTTACGTCTTTAGAAAGGAGCTCTGGTGGCACAGTGCCTAAGGCATTTGACTGCTAATCAGAAGGTTGCCGGATCAAACCTACCAGTGGCTTCACAGAAGGAAGATAGGGCAATCTACTTCCGTAAAGATTTACTGCCTTAGAAACCCAGTGGGTGTTGCTGTAAGTCAGAATTGACTCGATGGCAGTGAATTTGGTTTGGAGTTTTTATGTCTTTAAAAGGAGCTCTGGTGATACAGTGGCTCATGCATTTGGCTACTAACTCAAAGGTCAGCAGTTCAACCCACCAGCCACTGTGTGGGAGAAAGATGAGGGTGTCTGCTTCTGTAAAGGTTGACAGCCTTGGAAACCCTATGGAGCAGCATCCTTTAGGGGCCCTGTGTGTCGAAATTGACTCAGTAGCACTGGATTTGGTGAGATACGTCTTTAAAGGAGACCTGGTGGTGTAGTGTAAGTACTTGACTGCCCACTGAAAGGTCCGTGGTTCAAATCCACCAGCAATTCCATACAGAAAGATGTAGCAGTCTGTTTTTGTAAAGACTGCAGTCTTGGAAGCCCTATGGGCAGTTCTACTCTGTCCTATTGGGTCGCTGTGAGTCAGAATTGACTCGATGGCACTGGGTTTGGTATATGTCTTTAAGTCAACTATTAGATAATTACAATCTATTTTTTAAAATACTGTGTTACTAAAAGAGTTATGGATAGGTAGACACAGTGGCTGTAATAATGAGCTGAAGCATAGCAACATTTGTGAGGGTGAGGTAGGACTGGGTAGCGTTCTGTTCTGTTGGACATACAGGGTCACTGTGAGTCAGAACCAGCTCAGTGGCACCTAATGGCAACAGCTTAGCTGTTCTATTTGTGAGAGGGAAAAGCAGACTAAGCCATGAAGTGTTTTAAAGGGAGTTAAAAGACTGCTGTCTGCATTGAGATTTCCCAGTTTCTTACACATTCCGTATGAATAAAGTAGCCTCCCATGTCTCTTCCTTACTCATTCTTCCTTAAATATCATCAGATACAGAAGAAAAGCTTATGCTTCTAGACTGTGGAAAATATTTAGACTCTGCATAAATGTTATGTGAAATATGTAAATTTAATGTAAATTTATAATTTATAAAATAACATCACATGAAAAAGATCATTAGTGAAGGTTGAAGAGGCAAACTTGAATGGAAAAGACATAAATGTGATCTTTGGTAGGATCCATTGTAGCTCTGAAATTGAATGGCTCCATTCACAGATATTCATGAAATACCTGTTATGTGTCATGCTTGCTAGTAATAATCTTTCAGGGATAAGAAGACAACTCTTAAGCCTAGTGAAATGAGGAAAGATTTGGTAGAGTTCAAAGGTGGTAAAAGGAAGAAGAGGGTAAGGGTCAAAGAAAGCTTCCTGAGGGAGTAATAGCTACACTGTTGAGGAAATTTTGTTGGAGATACCAAGAAGTTTGATAAAATAATGCATACTTCTATTTTTGATATTTAGGAACTGTTGCTGTACCTGGTCTGATGAATTATTAATTAAAAAAAAAACTTTTCTGTGTCCCTTAATGATTCAGTGTTCATAACAGTCTCATGTGACCCATAAAATCTTTTTTTCTCAAAGCCAGCCTTTCTGAGAAATGCTCAAAACTCATTAGTTCTGGAGTGAGGAGTGGTAATTGTGATTGTGGAACCGAGAGCCTTACGGCAAAGAGAGTAATGTCTTTTAAAGATCTTGTTTTTTGGTGGGTAACTCAAGAGTTGAAATAAGTTGGGTGGTTACAGTTGTCTTTTGTGGGGAGGTTGGTGGAGGAAGGATGCCAGTAGGGGCGTTGATGTGATATTGCTGAGTTCTGCAGCATCCATTCATTCCATAACGGTCTTGTTACGTGCCAGGCACTTTAACAGGCATTGGGATGAAAATATGTGCAGCAGGTAAGGGGAGGTATTGTATATCAGTTTGGGTACTGTGTTCCAGGTCCAAGGCACGGGAGCTTGAATGGACACTTATCATCTGACCAGATGTGTTGCATCTTAAACATAGGCAGGTGTTCCCCAGGTGGTAGGAAGGAAAGCCAGCATGAGGGAGGGCATTCCAAGCCAAAGGAGCTAGGTAAGTAAAGCCATGGCAGCATGAGGTAGGCCTGTGTGAGACCCTAGGAGCAGTTGGGTACTTGAGCACTGGGTGTGCCTCTGGGCCTGGCAAGAGTGAGTGTGGAGAGAGGTGACTGTGAGCAGAGTCTAGAGCGTTCATATAAGAGTCAGGAAGCCTGAGGTGAAGACTGAAAAGGAAGCAGAAACAACCATTATACCTAGTTTGTTTGTTTTTTGAGAGGCTTGGCAGATACAGGTTGTTAGTGCAGAAAGGACACGGAGGTGACATCTTCTGACCTCCTCTTAACTTCACAAGAGGAAGACAGAATTACCCTCAGCAGCCCAGGGCTTATTCCTATGAGGCCAGACATGCTGCCACCCTCCAGCCTTTTATCAGTTCTGACACCGACTGTTCCTCCTATGGCACTCACTACTTCTCTGCTGGGTTGATAATTTGTTGCAATGACCACACAGAACTCACAGACGATATTCATGATTATGGGGTTTATTAAGGAAGTAACGGTACGATTCACATTCAGGAACGCACTTCGACGAGGACAGTCTCCCCTCTGTTGTGCCTTCAGACATGCCTCTTTGGCCCTTGGCCTCTCAGCCGGGCCTCTGCCCTGCTCGGCCAAGTGTGTTACAAAGCTCTTTTAGCTTGCTGATAAGTATATCTAGGTGCACCTCACTCTTTCATCAAGCCTCCTGCCCAAGGGCACTCAGGCCTTTTAGCTTTTTAGCTCTGTGGGCCAGGTAAGCCTGCCACTCTGTCTTGTGCCTCTTGGTTCCTCTGCATCCATCTCTCTGCTGGCTGTCTCTCTCTGCTGGGGAGTCTTTCTATGCTGGGGTGTCTCTCTCTGCCGGGTGTCTCTGCCAAGGAGGTCCAGTGCAGGGATCTCAAGTACAAGGATGCACTCTACTTCACTTCAGCTCTTCTCTCTTGATGGCAGTGAGATCTCTGTGACCCTAAAACCAAACCAAACTACTGCCATCAAGTCAATTCGACTCATAGCGACCCATCCTTGAGTTTCCAAGGCAGTATCTCTACGGAAGTAGATTGCCCATTCTTCCTTCTGAGGAGTGGCTGGTGGGTTTGAACCCTAGGAAGGCCCATTTTTCAGCCTGGCAGAGTGACATAACTAACAAATCCCAACATCAGAGTTCTGCATACCTTATTTGTATGGTCCTACCCAGTAATCTGGTGGGAGTTAAAAAGATTACAAAGTAATTCACTGCACCACAGAGAATATAAATTTATTTTTTAATAAGAGAAACTTAAATAATGAGTGAGAAAGCAGTGAAATGGTAAGAATGTGGAATGTAAGAGGAGAAAGCAGAATATTAGTTTTGAAAAGCTGTTAACTGGAAGATGGAAATGGCGCTGAGGCAGGGTAGAAGGCAACATAAACCAAAAGAACCCCAACTCACTGCCATTGAGTTGGTTCTGACTCACAGCGACCCCCAGTGGGTTTCTGAGGTGGTAAATCTTTACAGAAGTAGATTGCCCCGTCTTCCTTCCGTGGAGCAGCTGATAGGTTTGAACCACCAGCCTTATGGTTAGCAGCCAAATGCCTTAGGCACTGTGCCACCAGAGCTGCTTAGAAGGCAACACAGGAATGGCTCAGCATGACTGATTTAAGGCATTCAGGCCGCCTGGATGCACGTCTCAGTTTTTCCAGCTACATGGCAGTGGTGACTGCCAAGGGGACAGGGAGGCCACATCTTCCAACCTTCTCTAACTGCACAAGAAGACAGAATCGCTCTCAGTAGCCCAAGGCCTGTTCCTGCAAGGCCAGGCATGCTGCCTCCCTCCAGCCCTTTCACAAACCGTTCCTCCCGCAGCACCACCTCTCTGCTAGGTTTGATAATTCACTGCAGTAGCCACACACAACTCACAGTTTATGGGGTTTATTAGGGAAGCACGAAGCTATAAGGCAAGTTCAGGAACAATGCTTAGTCTCTCTCAGCCCGTCGTCTCTCTCCCAGCAGTGCGTGTCTCTCGGTATCTCTTTCTCAGCAGCATATGTCTTTTGTTGTCTCTTTCTCAGCTAGTGGTCAGAGAGACACCTTCTGCCTTTAGGAGGCTTCCTTTTGAGCCTGGCAGAGTGACCAAGCTAACCAATCCCAGCATCAGAATTCCATACACCTGAGAGAGAGCGAACTTCCCAGAAAATTTCTTTGTGCTGGTCCCAACAGAAATACCCCAGGGGGATAACTAATAATCGGGAGCTACTTGGTTGCTCATGGCAAATTCCACCATGGAGTTTACAAAGACTTACGGCTGGAAAAGCCATACCAGGTAATTTACTTCACTGCAGTGACTTACTTAATATCAGTGTAACTCCATTTCTTCGTCTGTAAAAAAGGTAGCTTCTGTAGTAGTTCTTACAGCAGTACCTACAGTGTTGTTGTTAGTTGCTGCCGAATTGATTCAGACGCATGGTGACCCCGTGTGTATCAGAGGAGATGTGTGTTCTGTAGGGTTATCAAGACTGTGACCTCTTGGAGACAGATTGCGAGGCCTTTCTTCCAAGGCACTTCTGGGTAAGTTTGCACCGCCACCCTTCAGTTAGTAGTTGAGCTCTTAACTGTTTGTGCCATCCAGGGTCTCCTCATACGTGCATGATGGGGTTATCATCAGGGATTAACTGTGAAAATATAAGGAAGCCTTAGCATAGTGCCTGGTACATAGTAAGCATCTGGATGTTAACTGATGCCGTCATCAGCCTCACTGTTATTGTCACCACTTCCTTCCTTTTTTTAAATAGAATTTTCTACACTATATATTAAAGAAGATTTTTAAAATAGTAGCGGAATCTTTCTGGCCGAGTTAGCTTCATGAATCCTACAGAAATCTGTAGCTTCTTGAATTGATCAACAGCTGAACATAATTATCACGAAGGATGTTTGTCTTTACCTAGTGCTGCTGTTACAGGAGTACCACACGTGGGCGGCTTTAATGAACAGAAGTTTATTTCTCACAGTTTCGGAGGCTAGAAGTCCGAATTCAGGGCGCAGCTTGAGGGGAAGGCTTTCCCTCTGTCGGCTCTGGGGGAAGGGCCCTGTCTCTTCAGCTTCTATACCTGAGTCCTTCGGCAAACCTGTATCTTCTCTGTTTGGGCTGGCTGGCTTAATCTGCTCTTTCATATCTCAAAAGAGGTACATTTAAGATACACCTCACACTGAGATCTGGCCTTGTTAATGTGCCAAGAAAATCACTTCCCAGAGGGGATTAAGATTCCAGGGTTCAGTTTTACAACACAAATTGGGGGTATATAGGGGCTCAGTTCAATCCATAGCAAAGCAGAAGTGAACTTTGTCTTTTCTGGAAAACAGTTTTAACAACTTTTTACAGAACAGCTTCACCGATGGTATGGTCTCTCCTCGTGAACCTCCACAGATGGCACCGTTTGATGCACCTGCCCAGGTGTAGTTGGTATTTCAGCCTAACTCTAACTGACTTCTTCTTCTTTTTATTTTATTTTTTTAAAACCTCTGGTACATCAGGAGTTAAAAAATGCTGAAATAGCTTTAAGGACTCAGAAAACACCACCTGGCCTTCAACATGAAAACACAGCTCCTGCTGAGTAAGTTACCACATTTTCTGAACACAGCTTCTCACTGAGAGAACACAGGACAGGAGGGGAGAAGCCCTATGTTGTCACCTATCTAGTAGGTGCAGCTGGGCTTTGTAAGCAGTTTTCAGGTTTTCCTATTGAGTTCTCGTAACCACCTTAGCGGGTAGTTTATTGTCACCATTTCACTGATGGGTAAGTGAAAGCTAAGAGGGCTGATCTTTTCTGTCTCTCTCTTTCCCGAGCCTCAGTGTCCAGAGTTTGTTTGTTTGTTTATTTTGTTAACTTTTGATTGTGGTTCCGTGAACGTTTATACAGTCCACAAAGATGCCGTTCGACATCCTGCTTGGGAGAGCTAATCCTTTAACCACTGTCGTGCTGTTACACTTCATCTGAATGCTGTTCACAGGGAATATCCCTGTTCATTCCACTGTATTAAATTTTGCAAGTAGAGGAAGGTTCTATTTTTACTCTTTTTTCTATTTTACGTTCCCTTTGCCTAACACTGGTATGGTATTGTTAACCAAACGACAGACCTCATTTGAATGTGACCAACTTCTCTCCTGATGTCCTCTTTCCACTCTGGAATCTTGTTGAGGATGCATTTACTTGTTGTTCCTCCTAATCTACTCCCTATAGGCACTATTCATGCTTTCCTGACCTTGATACTTTTGAAGAGTATTAAGTTGTTTTGTAGAATAGCCTTTCATTGGGATTTTCACTCAGAATCTGAGTAAGGAGATGTATTTGTTTTTGATACCTTGATAACTTATGATATAAGGGTTTTTAATTCCATAATGGTATCTACGCCACTTGAAGATACATGACATCATCTGTCTAATCAGAGGGCCTACTCAAACGGGGCAATGATTGATTTATTTGGCATATAGAAGAGAAAGGAAATAATGTTTTAAAAACTCTGATCTGGTTTCTAAAATGTTTTTATGTAGCTACTTCAGAATCTTGGTTCAGCAGTTTGAGGTTCAGCTTCAGCAGTACAGACAGCAGATCGAAGAACTAGAAAACCATCTTGCCACTCAAGCAAATAATTCACATATAACCCCTCAAGGTAACACGCTTCTGTGGAATTTTTTTCAATAGACTTTTTTTTTTTTTTCGGTAGAAGAGGGGTGAAACTATAGTTGTGCAGAAGATATTCTCATTAACTTCCTTGTCTTAAGCTGCCATAAGTAGATTTTCTTAATGGAGCTTGACTACATCTTTGTTCCCAGTAAATATGAAGTGCTTTGTTCTGAGCTGTGTTAACAAGGGCTGGCCTGCCCACCTCCCCTTTCCCCTGGTTACTAGTGTAGACTTCCCTCTCTATTAGTCTGTTGTCTTCTCTGTCATTCGTGTAGTTTTTTTCTCTTAGCACATTCACAGTACTGAAAATGGAACTTATAAATAATTTTAAAAATAAAGTTTATTGCATCATATGTATGTTTGTGTAATAATATAATTTTCTTTTATAGATTTGTCAATGGCTATGCAGAAAATTTATCAAACATTTGTAGCTTTAGCTGCACAACTTCAATCTATTCATGAAAATGTAAAGGTAAGTTTTCATTGCCAGTTCATCTGTCTGGATAACTTTTATCTCCCCAAATGTAGAATTTGTTCATTTGGGGAGGAAAGTCTCCGCATTTATTACAGAAATAGCTAAAATTTCATATAAGTGAAAAAACCACACCCCAAAAAATATAGTCCATAATCATACACAGACACAACCGTTGATAATAGATACTCATTTTCAGAAAGATCCTAGGGTTTATCTTATATATGCAATGCGCTGTTTAACCTTTTTCAACAGTGCCTTGTGAGTACCTTCCCATGTTAGTGCATGTGGTTCTTCAGCATCACTTCGTAGTTTCTTAAGATTTCACTGTGTGTGTGTGTCTGTGTATGTTTAACCCACCCTCTGCGCTCAAACATTTCAGTTGTTGCCATCCTTGACCGCTATAAACAGCGCTCCAAAGAAGAAACATTCTTGGCTGCAAATGCATTTTGTCCTGCCTTGATTTTATATGCATTTTAAATGGCTATTGACCACTGCATAAAAAACTCGCTTCCAACATTCTCCCTTCTAAATGCATGAAACTGTATTATGCTTGTTAAATTATGGAAAGAAGGTAATTTGTCACGGAATATTTTGACCCACATGGATAATGCGCTAGTTGTGTTTTTTTTTTTTTAATTTGTGTAAGTGCGATGTTACACAGAAATTTATTTTTTCCAACTAATCAAGCACATGTAATGACATTATTTCTTGGAGTTCTATGTGGTCAAAATCACTAAATTTTAAAGCACCCACAGCTGAGTCCAAATAAACTATTACCTATATAGAGTTAATTCTGATTATCATAATTTTCATTTTTATTTTAATCTGATGCATGGTCGCAGAATTTTTTTTTTTTTTTTAGGATTTGGGTGAAGATATACAGAGTAAATTCACTTTTCATACAGCAGTTCACATATACTTTGTCTCATGTCATTGACCAAAATTTACAATGCAGCAGCTCCCCTCCCACTTCCTCCCCATAGTTACCTCCTCCCAGTGTCCATCCCTTCATACTCTTCTGCACCCTGCGCTATCTCCCTGTGCATAAGCAGCCCTTCCTTCTCCCATGATTGTTCTCTCCAGGGCGTGTGTCTACTTGAGGTAAATGTTTAACTCACATGTCTGTACTTTGTTTGGCTGGAAACCACAGTTGTGGGTTCAATTCCAGACCTAAAGGGCAGCTAGGGGCCATAGTCTCAGTGGTTACACCAGGCTCTATTGGACCAGCAAACCTGGTCTCCACCTTCTTTTTTTTTTTTTGGCCTCCAAATGATTTTGAGTTTTGTTCCACATTGTTCTCCCTCTTCATGCAGGATCTCCTACATCCCTTCCAAGTGGATGGCAGTGGTAGCTGGGCACCATCTAGTTCTTCTGGTCTCATAGTTATATAGGTTGCAGATCGGATGGTATACCAGTCGCTGGGACTGATTGTTTCCATTAATTTTGGTTTTCTTCTTGACGAGGAGAGACCCGTTGTTGCATCTAGATGGCAGCTTCCTAGCTTTTAAGGTCCCAGTCGCTACTCGCCAAAGTAGTAGGTGGAACAATGTTTTGTATAGTATGTTATGCCAATTGAGCTTGATGTCCCCTGCGACTATGGTCCCAAGCCTGCAGGATCAACTACTCGGTCCCTCTGGGTAGCTGGCTTGGTCACAGAATTTTTGTAGAATTAAATTACACTTAAATTATACTATTTTTGAAGTGACAGCGTACTTCAAACCTTTAGCTTTAATAGATTTCAGACCAAATCTTTAATATAATTTCTTTTTAAGGGAGGAATTTTTTTTATCAGATTTTTTTGGGTTTTTTATTAATCAGTCTATAATAAATATGACTAAAGCAAAAAAAACCAAACCCACTGCCATCAAGTCGATTCTGACTCATAGCGACCCCCGTTGGGTTTCCCAGGCAGTAAATCTTTGCGAAAGTAGATTGCCCACTCTTGCTTCTGTGGAGTGGCTGGTGGGTTTGAACTACCAACCTTCTCATTAGCAGATGCCTTAGGACTAGCTTTTTTCAAGTGCTGCATTGTTACTTTGAAGGCTGTTGTACAAATGTTCCCCCGTCCTCCCTCAATTTTTATTAGAGTCCTGGTGTGGTGCACATCGTTCATGTGCTCGCTGCTGAGAGGTTAGCAGTTCAGGTCCACCCAGAGGAGCTGCAAAAGAAAGCCTTGGTTGTCTGCCTCCAAGAGGTCAGCCGCTGAAAGCTCTGTGGAGCACGATTCTACTCTGGCACATGGGTTGCCATGAGTCGGAATGTTTGGACTCCATGGCAACTGGTTTTGGCTTTTTAATTTTTATTACAGAAGTTTTCAAATACATACAAAAGTTAGACTGGTATTATAATAAACATCCAGGGATTCACCCAGTTTCAGCCATTACCGAGATCCTAAAGGTCTTGTTTTATCAGTTCTCCACACAGAGAGCTTTTTCCCCAGCGGTACCATAGGCAAAGGAGCTCTGCTGGCATAGTGCTTAAGGCATTTGACTGTTAACCAGGAGGTTGGCTGTTCAAACCCACCTGTCACTCCACAGAAGGAAGATGGGGCAATCTACTTCTGTAAAGATTTACCGCCTTGGAAACCTAACAGGGGTGACTATGAGTTGGAATCAATTTGATGGCAGTGGGTTTTGGTCTTATCTTAGAGCAAATCCCAGAAATGTCTTTTCTAACTATGCATGCTTTTTCGATGGCACTTTCCCTGCTCTGGTTCCACTTTGGTGGAAACCTACCTTTTTTGTGTAACATAACCTTCAGACAGATATTCTCCCATAGAGCCCCAGGTCATGTTGGACAAACTTAACCTGAAATTTTGACATGCCCTTTTTTCATATGTATCCAAGAACCAAAGAATGCTTTGTGAACATCTAAACATTTATGTTCAGTTGAGTTTAGTGAGCAAACTAACTATAAATCCTAGGCTGCTGCATTTCCCATAGAAATCTCACAAGTGTTTCTTCATTCCTTTTCCATATTTTACTAGATGGTCTGATAACAGACTTAAGCCACATTACCTGGACAGTCCTCAGTGGTGTTAGCAATCTTGGAAGTTTTAGTGATGAATTAATTAAGTCATAGTTGATGTCAGTGTTTTGAAATAGCTATCTTATGTTTTTCCAGTTTCTAAGGCAGGTCATTACTTCTCAGCATCTGAAGTAGAACTAAAATTTACTGGGAACTAATACCAGACACTGTTGGGGTGTGTTGGTGTCAATTGCACTGAAAAAGAGAGGGTGGAATTGTGGGAGATCAGTTCTAACAGGGCTAATTTTTCTCTGTGTCACACGCCCTGCACTTCCCCAGCTTTAAGCCCTACACAGGCCGCTTTAGTTCCTTCTACAGGAATAAAGTCTGGGGCTGGAACATCAAATCCTGAGACTCAAAAAAGAGCACTATGGCTTCCACAGTCTATACATAGCAGTTAGATTGCTGATTTGATTGCTAACTGGAAAGCTGGTGGTTCAAATCCACCAGCCACTTCGCAGAGGAAGGACTGGGCAGTCTGCTCCCGTAAAGATTGACCACCTTGGAAACCCAACGCGGGTCACTATGAGTTGGAACGGACTCGATGGCAGTGGGCTTGGTTTTTGTTTCTGTTTTTAAGAACAGATAGGAAATGGGGATATTTTACATGTCTTCAGAAAGTGGTATAAACCCTATCTAAATGAAGTTCAACATTGAAGGAAAGTGTTCAGTGATTCTGAAATTGAAACAGGTTCGTTTGCGCCATTGGCCTTCGTCAGGGCCTCCCCTTCCAGCTCGTCTCCCCCCTCCCTTCTCTCTCCTCCCCTTGCTCCTTTCCTTCGTTTCTGTTACACCGGCTCAGAGTGACTTGTCCTCACTGTGCACCATTCAGCCAGTAATCCCAAGGCAGCAGCCCACTCACATCCTCTGCTCAGGTAGCATCTTGTTTTCAGCATCACCCAAGCCTTTTAAAAACAGGTGTTTCACAGTTACATATTTAATGCTGCCTGGTTTTCTTGATTATTAATAAGCTTTTTGAGTCCAAAGGTTATCACAGATATGACATTTGGGAAACATTTTTTCATAAAGAAAATGGAGTAAAATGCAGTTTTCAGTATTATTTTGCCTGTCAGAAAGTTAGCTGATTTTTTGCACAGGGCTCAAAGCCAGACTCTTGTCGGCAACATGTAAAGTGACGGAGATAGGGAGAAGAGTGCTCAGGGGAGCAGTGACTCTCACCCCACTTCCCGCGCCAGCATGTAGCACTGCACGCTGATTTGCAGTGTAGATAAAATGTATCATGTGGACAGTTTCTGTTCTGTGATCTAGTCTTGGTGGTGCACTGGTTAAAGCACTTGGTTGTAAACCAGAAGGTCAGCAGTTTAAACCCACCAGCTGCTCTGCTGAAAAGCGATGAGGCAATCTGCTTCTGTGAAGATTGCTAGCCTTGGAAACCTGATAGGGCAGTTCTACTCTGTCCTCTAGGGGTGCCGTGAGTTGGCATGAACTCAGTGGCAGCAGGTTTGGTTTGGGCTTTGCTTCCGTAAAGATTGGCCGCTTTGGAAACCTTATAGGGCAGTTCCACTCTGTTCTACGGGGTCACTATGAGTCGGAATTGACTTTGAGGCAGTGGGAATTCTGTGATCTGTCTTTAATAGTTTATTTCTTGTTGTTGTTGTTGTTATGTGCCATGGAGTCAGACCCAACTCATAGCGACCCCTCCTTGGGTTTCCAAGGCAGTATCAGTACGGAAGTAGATTGAACAACCTTCCTTCCGAGGAGTAGTGGCTGGTGGGTGTGAACCACCAGCCTTCTAGTTAGTAGTCAAGTGCCTTAAACAGTATGCTGCCAGAGCTCCTAGCTTATTTTTAGTTGTATCTATTCACCTATTACCCAAGTCAGCACAGAGCTTGATAGGCATTTTTTCTGCATTCCTCTAGGTGCTCAAAGAACAGTACCTTGGCTACAGGAAAATGTTCTTGGGTGATGCCATAGATGTGTTTGAAGCCAGGCGAGCAGAAGCGAAGAAGTGGCAGAGCACACCCAGAGTGACAACGGGACCCACACCTTTCAGCAGCATGCCAAATGCAGCCGCCGTTGCCATGGCTGCAACTCTTACGCAGCAGCAACAACCTGCTCCAGGTCTGAACGCATTCAAGTTATAGCTTCTTACTGGGAAAATGCAGAACAGTTGTGTGCATTTTGATAAGTCTTCCTTTTATGTCAGCACTGAAGACATTTTTATGAATAGCTGTCCCAATACAATCTGACAATTGTGATGGACACAATTACGAACCATATACCTGATACAAAATGCAGGGTAGTCTTAGCAATAACTGTACATCAAGTAGACACACGAACATTGTTAATTTACTTAATGGTATTTGCTGTATTGCTACAAATGCCCTTTAGACCCTGGTGTTTCACTACTGAGCTATATTTAGAACTAACATTAGATTCTAAAACTGTGATCGTATCTTTTATTGTTTTACAGTCAGAGATAACCCAGCCATACGCTACAGTTTTCTTATATGATAGGGAGAGATGGTGCATTCTGGTCTTCCTTATACATAGTGATGGTAAACTACCTACATGCAGGACGAAGGACGTTTCTGTTGACGGAAGGTGTGTTGAAGATGAGTAGGTTTGTTGGTGTGCATGTTGACTGGAAGCAGAGTACAGGCCCTCTAATCTAAATTTTGAAAGCAATACATGCTAGAATTATTTGTAACTTCTTCAGAATGAACAGAACAGTAGCAAAAGCAGGATAAAGATACATCAAGATGCTCTAGATTGCCGTGAGACAGGAACTGGGAGCTCAAGTAGATGGAATCATTGGTGAGATGTTAGAAGGCTGATAACTTTAGTACTTGGTTTAATTCCACTTCTGAGCAGAGGAACAATTTTGTGGTCCAAGTCTATATGATTTTTGTGGTCTAGTTATGTCATGTTCTGAGGTTACCCCATTGTCTGTCTTTTCACTCCTGCAAACCCCTTTTGTTTGGTTTCACATTTGATGTAGAAAATAGAGTCTTAATGGATATTGGTGTTTTTCTTTAGTCATTTATGAATTTTAGGTATAGCAGGTGTCCTTCTGACACGTTGGCTAAGAGTCCCATTTAATGCAGTAGTAAATTATAGTACAAAAAAATAAAAATCTCTGTCTAGATGAATTGCATTTAGGCTCCCTCTCCTACAATTTCCACTATTGGCAGCTTATAACATTATCCTCCCCATTTGGCAGTGACAGGCACAGCATCAGGAAGAGGTTGATGTGGGTGGTGCATGCCAGATCCTCTGTTGTCCCTGCTCTGGACTCAGATGGATGGCACTCCCACCATGTGGTGCCTCTCCAGCTGGCTGGAGTGTCAGATTCCCTTTTCAAGCCAGGAAGGGAAAAAGTATTGTGGGATTGATTTCTCTGGGAATCAGTCCTGTAATTGATAGCCGTCTGTTCACACGATTATTTCACCAGATAATCAAACCAGCTGCAGTACGAATTTATGTTTTAGAACCAGTATTAACCACTAATCAGATAACTGTGGGTTTAGTGTCTATTTAAAGTGTTCTTTAGACAAGTATAATGGAATTTCATTCTAAGATGGAAGACTTAAGAAAAGTCAGTTATCTAAAATGTTATGCTGTCAGTGCATTACTCTATGGCATGCAATTAAAATTGGAGCAAAACCACCTATCAAACGGGATTTTTAAGAACTCACATAGGTGATCTTGAGCAGTTTGTAGGTTCATACATTTTGGGCTCATGGATGTATGTGGATTTATGTTCATTCAGTAACTATGAGTGCCTGCAGTGTCCTGGACCCAGGGGATGCAAAGATAAGCAAGACAGATGTGGTCCTAGTTTCCTGGGGCTGCTTAACACAACATAAGGTGGGTGGCTTTAAAAACCAGAAATTTATTTTCTCACAGTTCTGGAGACTGGACGTTCAAGCCAGGGTCTCTGCTGTGTTGGTTCCTTGTGGAAGCTTTGAAAGAGGAACTAGTTGATGTCTCTCACCTCGCTTCTCAAAGCCATCACCATCCTTGGCATCCTCTCCTGCTGACAGATGTATCTCTTGTTACATGCTGTCTTCCCCATGTGACTTGTTCTGTCTGTCTTCCCCTTTATGAGACACCACTCAGAAGAGATTAGGATTAGGATGTAGCCTGCGTCAGTTTGATCTCATATTAACTTAATAATGAAAGAAAGACCCTCTTTCCCAACAAGATTACATTCACAATGTACAAGCATTGGACTTCAGCATATCTTTTGCTGAAACATAGTTTAATCCATTGTTCTTCCATGGTGGTGGGCGTTGGCTTCGTGTAGAGTAAGTCAGTGCAGGGAGCCCATTGTCCCTCCATGGTGGTGGATGTTGGCTTCATGTAGAGTGAATGAGCGCAGGGAGCCCGTTGTCTCTCCATGGTTGGCTTTGTGTAGAGTGAATGAGCACAGGGAGCCTGGTGTCCCTCCATGGTGGTGGACGTTGGCTTCGTGTAGAGTGAATGAGCTCAGGGAGCCCATTATTTCTCCATGGTGGTGAACGTTGGCTTTGCGTAGAGTGAATGAGTGCAGGGAGCCCATTGTCCCTCCATGGCGGTGGATGTTGGCTTCATGTAGAGTGAATCAGTGCAGGAATCCCATCGTCTTTCCATGGTGGTAGGCGTTGGCTTCGTTTACAGTGAATGAGTGCAGGGAACCCATTGTCCCTCCATGGCAGTGGGCGTTGACTTCACGTAGAGTGAATCAGCATAGGGAGGCCATTGTCCCTCCATGGCGGTAGGCGTTGGCATCATTTAGAGTAAATGAGCGCAGGGAGCCCATTGTCCCTCCGTGATGGTGTGCGTTGGCTTCTTGTATAGAGTGAATGAGCGCAGAGAGCCCATTGTCCCTCCGTGGCAGTGGGCGTTAGCTTCATTTAGAGTGAATGAGCACAGGGAGCCCGTTGTCCCTCCATGGTGGTGGACGTTGGCTTTGTGTAGAGTGAATCAGCATAGGGAGCCTGTTGTCCCGCCATGGCGGTGGGCACTGGGTTCATGTAGATGAGTCAGCATAGGGAGCCCGTTGTTCCTCCATGGTGGTGGACTTTGGCTTCGTGTAGAGTGAATGAGCTCAGGGAGCCCATTATCTCTCCATGGTGGTGAACGTTGGCTTTGTGTAGAGTGAATGAGTGCAGGGAGCCCATTGTCCCTCCATGGTGGTGGATGTTGGCTTCATGTAGAGTGAATCAGTGCAGGAATCCCGTTGTCTTTCCATGGTGGTATGCGTTGGCTTCGTTTGGGAGCTCTGGTAGCATAGTGGCTAAGACACTTGCCTGCTAACCAGACGGCTGGTGGTTCAAACCCACCAGCCACTCCTCGGAAAGAAGGTTGGGCAATCCTACTTCTGTAGTGATACTGCCTCGGAAACCCAAGGAGGGGTCGCTATGAGTCGGGTTTGACTCTACGGCACATAACAACAACAACATGAGTTGGCTTCGTTTAGAGTGAATGAGTGCAGGGAACCCATTGTCCCTCCATGGCAGTGGGCGTTGACTTCGTGTAGAGTGAATCAGCATAGGGAGGCCATTGTCCCTCCATGGCAGTAGGCGTTGGCTTCATTTAGAGTGAATGAGCGCAGGGAGCCCATTGTCCCTCCATGGCAGTGGGAGTTAGCTTCATTTAGAGTGAATGAGCACAGGGAGCACATTGTCCCTCCATGGTGGTGGACGTTGGCTTTGTGTAGAGTGAATCAGCATAGGGAGCCTGTTGTCCCTCCATGGTGGTGGGCATTGGGTTCATGTAGAGTGAGTCAGCATAGGGAGCCCGTTGTTCCTCCATGGTGGTAGACGTTAGCTTCATTTAGAGTGAATGAGCGCAGGAGCCCGTTGTCCCTCCATGGCAGTGGGCGTTGGGTTCACATAGAGCGAGGCAGCACGGGGAGCCTCCTGCTCACGTGCTCTTTCTCTCGTTTTTGCCAGGCTTTGGGGAAAGTGACTGCTTCCCTTTTGAAGCTCATGTGAAGGGCTTTCTAATCAGGAGGCAGGAATTGTAATGTAGCGATCTGAATAGTCTCACAGTTTTTCCATTTTGAATAGTTTGGATTTTCGGAACTGAGGCACTAAACAAGTGTGGTAACAAGTCTGTATTATGTTTTTCCCTTTTGTCTCTCAGGGTTTCCCTATCTCCAAGTCCGTTCCCTCTCCCAGTCAGGATTTTACTCATGTCACCATTACCATGAACTGTGTGAACTCTGTTAGATACACACCGAATGACTTTGAGTTACAGCCCACTTAGAAGTGTCCCAGTAGGTTGCCTTCTGCTTTGTACCCAGTGAGTTATCCCTCCAGTCCTGTGACTGTCATGGGATCTTTTTGTTAAGAGCCAGTACCCCATTTTGAAGACCATGGTTATGATGTTAGGTAGAGCCTGTGCACTGTGTTTATATGTCCCTGTTGATCTGTGCAAGATTTTGAGTTTTCAGCAGGGTTTTGTCTTCTTTGTCTTCATTAATGTACATATAGGCACAGAGCAGGTAGTTTTTACACTGCTACCTTCTGAAGATGGTTTATATATAGTCTTTCTTGGAGGCAGAAGAGTGGTTTCACATGACTTCTCGAGCCTTTGTAAAGACTTTGTTGATGGAAATATAAAATAGGGCTCAGGCACGTGTGATTTAAGGTTACTAGCCCTGAAGTCTGAAGAGTATTGGTGAAAAGCCTGCAGGCCATCCGTGTACACACTAAGCATCGATACATGCCGCGGGGCGTGTAGCTAGATCCTGAGTACACTTGTTGACAAGTGCCCCGCCCACCTCCGGCCTCTTAAGCAGCTCATGGAGACAGTCATATTAAGCTTCTCAGTATAATTTCTACTTAGAGTAGGTTTTTTTTTAAGGTAACGTTTTGGGATTGAGTTTTGCTGTTGTGTTTTGAGTATTTTGAAAGTTCTTGATGTTTCTATAAGACTTTTCTCATGTGACTTAGCTGCTGTGTTTAAGGCGCAAGGAGCCATTTTGGGAATTCCTACTTTGTAGCTTGTAGTGCAGGTTTGGAAATTTAAGGTGTAGTGTTACATAGGAAATTTTAAGTATTGCATCTTAGTTTTTGGTGGTTTTGTGATTTTATTGTACTTAATAACCAAAGGAACATTCCCCATTAAATCAGTAAGAGTAATGAAACCTTTCAAATTGGGGAGAAGATGATGTTCTTTTTGTTTTTAAGAAAAGTTATTGTTTCAAAATATGACTTAGGAGTAACCATACTAAGTCCATTAGGCATTTCGAGTGACCATGGAAAATTTGAAAGAATCTTTAGCACTTTAATCCTTTTCCTGTGAATGCCATTTTACTTATAACTAAGTAGAATTTATTCTGGAAAATATGAGTTGCAGTGCTAAACCTGATTTTGTTGTGTGTGAATATATTATATGGTAACTTTTGTAAAGTGTTTCTCGACATGAAGATTTCACTTTGGGCAATCATTGGGATATACTACTACTGACTTGGTTTTATTTATGGATCTAAGCCTCTCATTGACCATTCAGATTCTGAAGCAGACTTCTTGAAGTGTTTTTGTATCTTTTGCCTAAAGGATTTAGATTCTGCTTTCTAGTAGTGAAAATAATTTATACGGTGGCCAGAGTGGAATATTTGAATACTTTGGAATGGAAGATATTTATCATAAGTTTTTACTATTAAAAATGTTATACATTTACCTACTAGTTTTATAAACGATGTAGCCTTCAGAATTTGCTAGAAGGTACAAAACTCAAAATACCACGTACCTGTTGTGCAATGGAAAGTCTTGTCACCATTATGTACGAGTTCTTGGTTATCTGGATCCTGAATATTGACGATTGGAGAAACTGTTTAGTGCTCTTCCAAGCGGACTCCCACGCCACAGAGAGTGTGGGGTTCAAGGGCTGAGGGTGTGGTGTGCGCTGTTCTCGAGGGTCTTCCACCAGCAGTGCCTCCTGTTAACATACGACACCGAAGTCTTTCACTGTTAAAGAAACTGGACATGTGTTTTCTACATATTATTTTTGTTAGCAGTGAGAAAGAAATACGCCGAGTTTCTTTTTCCTATAGTAACATTTTACAAAAGAGCTGCTAGGCAAATATTTTATTCTCAAACTAGTCTCAAACTGGATATAAAAAATTGAAATCCTTTTTTAATTTATTTTTTTAATAGTTGTATTAAGAACTTTGGCTGCTATTCATCATTCTTTTATTTTTGGGGTAGAAGCTATTTGAAAAGTCCAGTTTCTGTCCCAGTGTAGCAAAATGTAGTTCCCTTGATTCTGTTTTGTTTTTTTTAATGCTTTGTGATTTTATACAACCTTCTGAATGGACAGACCTCATTCTTCATTGGACAGCTGGAAGGCTTTGATTTTGTTGAAAAGTTTAAATTTCAATCTGTCCACACTACTTTGGCAGTCCCCTGAACTTTGAAATGCACTGATCACTGTGCTTGAAAAAGATAAGACTGAAGATTGTACTATGAAATTTATTGACTAATTTTCATAAATTATCAAATGAGAGTTTTAGATTTTTGTATTCTGCTTAGTTAAGGGGTGGGGGGAAAGTAGTTACAAAGAGAGGCTATAGTAAGTTTGATGTTACTCTTGCCAAACAAACTTGGCCAAAATCTTTAAAGGAACCATGGGAAAAGGGTAACAACTGTTTTGCATCCAAGTACATTTTCCCAAATGTTGGAAAGGAACTTCTGAATTGAAATCTTGAATGTACTGAATCTGTCAAGGTGCACCTCGGTGCCTTTGTAATTGTTCATCCATCTGTCTTCTTGAATCAGGTGGAAAGTGGTGTCGTGTAGCAGAGCTTCTCAAGGGAACTCAGTTAACACTTTTGTGAACAAATTGGATTGTCATGTCACTGTGTAATTGACTTGCTTTAAAATGAACAATAAATTTAATAAAATAAAACATTGTCCTGTTTTCTATCTATTTATTGTATATATCATTTATATTTCATCTGAGAAATGATGCCTAGTGTTTTGGTCCTCACTCCTGTGAAGTAACATGATAGCTTTGCCATGTTAGTGCCAGTCTCTTTCTGTCCCTTGAGACTGGACTTTAATAGTAAGGAGCTCGTTTTTAAAAAAGTCAAAACCTTTACTTATAACACCAACCGATCTTACCAGAAAACAAGTGGAAACAGCTAAAACAATTCTAGATGTAAATCTAAAACAAAAACAGCCATGATTTAAAATACATTAGAGATTTCAAATTATTTAGTAGGTTTCAGCTTCCAATGTCATAAGACTATTTCATTTGTTTAGCATTGAACAGGTTAATTTAAAAATTGGTT